TCCTTCAACGTTTTACTAACGATTGATCGACTCTAGAGGAGTTCAACAATTTATTTGTCTTTTATAACGGCTGTAATGGTATTACGCTGTAAAGCCAAAAGGAGATTAAGTTTCGCAAAAAACTGCAACTGCCCTCTCTTCACTTCGATCCATTGGGGAAAACGCATTTTTAGATCTTTTCTAATGGTTAAAAAATCAATCGATAGCTTAACTTTTAAACCACTTTATTATCACGCTGAAAGAGCAAAGATAATAAATTGTTTCTCATTTGAAGATTTCTCGCAGACCAGTGCCTCTTTCTTAAAGTTTCAAGAATTGAACGATAGACCATATTTCAAGAATTTCAATAATGATTCTGGTTTCTTGAACGAACTTCTTAGTGCTTCATAAGAACTAAAAGAAGCTTGGGCTTCGCACTCAATGTTTTTTCCAGTTTTGCGAAGTCCAGTCTTCTTTCGGCTGTTACAGCGTCATATGAGGTCTATGTGCCAAATAGGCTACTGAAATTTCCAAAATCTAATCTATCGATTAATTGCTCAAACTTCAAAGGAGAATCTTTGATCAGAGAGGAATCTTTGAATGAGAAACAAAATATTATTTTTGCTCTTTTAGCGCAATAGCAGGGTTTTTCAAACATTTTTGAAAATGGAACGCACCTTCAAATTTTTCTGATTTAAGCTATCAATTGACTATTTGATCTTCAAAAATAGGCGCAGATTAGGCTTTTTCTGAAGGCCTGAACGGCGCCTAAAATCTAGCTTATTGTAATCCAAAAATTTCGAACACAACGTAAAAATTTGCTGATCGACTGAATACTACAAGAAAGGAGTGCCAAAGATAGTGGAGTGGACAGTGATGAAGTATGGTGCTAGTCCGAACCCCGCCCTCAAAACTCTTTTACAATCACGTGGGAACGTCTTAGTCTGACAGTCCTTAGGTTGGCAACGAGATTTAGTTCGACCACATTCAGTCGCATTCAAAAAGACTGGGAATCTTCGTATCTTATTGGAAGCAACACGCGAATCTTTCAAGACTCCTGTGGACGATGGTTGTGAGGAAACGAATCGAGTGCAAGGTTCATGGTCCGCGTAATAGATGTAACGACAAGATATATAAGTAAACAAGAATAATAGTAGCAATGTTTAGACATTATGAAGCCTTTATGAAAAAAACACTATATACTTCGTAAGATAGTTCTCGCGTCAGTGAATATCGTTATTTTACCTTTCGTTTCGAGTGTCTTCTTGAGACCGCGCTCAAAATTCAACATATATTGTCATTATTAATCAATGCAACATTTCATGTGGTCTCTTGATTAGGCTGACTTATAGAGCCCGATAGCGCGAATATCACTGAACACACAGTGTTGTACATCTCGATTGCTCTTAGGTGATGTCGTTAGTATGTCATACCTTCGTTTCGAGTGTTTTCTCAATATCACGCTCAAATTTCCACATATCTTGTGATTATTATTTGAGCCAACATGATAGAAAAAAAGGGACAAAGTTAATGTGCATGGCATACTATAAAACCCTGCCTTTCATCCCCGACATTTTCAATCATTAGGCTTAGCTAATACTACGAGCTTCAGTGATAGTGTGTTCAGTGATGGTTTCGCTTGACATACAGTGTAAAATGTTCGTCGTCGCCTACTCCTAGTATAAGGGAGTGATCGCCCAGAGAGGACTGGTTAAAGAAGAAGGATAACTGCCCGACTGACGAGACCGCCAAGGTCGACACACGTGTATCGGGCTCTATAAGTCAGCCCATCTAGCAGTCCACATGATATGTTGGCCAAATAATAATGAGAAGACATCATCATTTTACTATAAGCCGTGCAATCCAAGGAGCGCATGTCGCGGAGTGGTTAGAGGTGCTTTGCGTCGTATAAAACCAACGGTTCGATCTCGCGCTCGTGGCTCACCAAGCCATCCATTCCAGCGAGATCGGTAATATGGACCAGACTTATAGCAGTTTTTAAGACGAGTAATGCTACTTTTTCTTATCTCTTATGCTCTTGACTATCAGTGTATCTACTTACAGATAATCACTATGGCTATTCGTTGCGCAGTCAGTCATACCACTCAAGTCGTATTTCTGGACCAGCTGCCAGATGCATTCGCGCAACATTAGCTGGCTTCCTTTTCAAACATCAGCCGACCGTATGTCCGAGCAACTCAAGGACTGTGCCTTTCAATTGGCAACCAAGAAATGTTTGCTATAGAATTTGGGCAGTCCTGTGCTTGACAGCTATCCACAGTCTATAACGGAACAGAATCTTGGGAAGGGTCACGCTCACAGCAGTTCTATCCGTCTACAGACGCTACTTGGCGCTCGGCTGCGTCTTCCACCTATCTTGGCTCTAGAACGTCCTAGTCATATAGCTCATGTCGATGTGTATTGCCTATGTGTATAGCCACTGCTCCAAACACTTTGTAGCTCCTCTCATAAATGTAGAGATTTTTTGCCATCTCACACTTAGACTCACATCTATTGGATCACCATAAAGTGTTAACATTGCGTTGCATGTCGTGTTATTTCTTCAGTTCCACATATGTTGTAATTGTTATCTGTTTGAAGTTGTTCGTTACGACGATGAATATGACTCGTTGGTCTCAGCATCAACACTGTTTCTTCATTCATTAAATAGTGAAAGACCCGCATGGCAGGAATAATCAATGTAATCGAGTGTCCCATCCGGCACACAACAGGCACCAAATCGCAATAGGCGCCAAAGCCTAACTACTCTATTGCAATCATTAATAAAACTAGATCAATCTAGGCACTCTTCACTGAAAACCTATATAATACGGTTCTCAAACTTCTCTGGGAAGACAAGCAGCACTGACTCGATGCAGCGGGAGGCCACGTCATTGTTATGGTTAGATATGCATTTAACCACCTCAAACGTAATCAAAAATTGAAGATGTGCGCATGGTGCATCTTTCAGAGATTGAATAACGAGCAGAGCTTTATCTTTCTATCCTTTATTATAATCCACGTCGGTTGACGATTGCCTGTTACGAAGTTCTGAATGCTCTAGCTTAGCATCTCAGAATTCCAAGAAAAATCGGCTCAACCAGCATTTAACGACATTCATTCAGAAAATCAAAATCCTCAAGTGACAAATGAATTTACGAAAAAAAATCGAAGGAGATATGTCGATTTTGGATGTGGAGAAACGAATCAGATGCGCGAGGTGTTACTATATGTGCTATTGGGTCGTATGAAAAAGGATCAGAATCCTTTTTATTTGGCCGCCTTCGGCGGTGGTAAGATGTTATTATATACCCATTGATAAAGAGTGATGTACAAAAACATTTACGTCAGTTAGGATTCGAACCCAAGTTCCACCCCATCCGTGGGTGTGTGGCTAAACCGCTGCACTTCCGACCCCCCTGTTGACACCACAAATGTTTTACAAATCACTCTTTATCAATAGTGTGAAAAAGGATCCTTTCAATACTATCCCATCATGGGAAGAGAGGATTCAGATCAAGTATTCACTTCCACCAAACTTATTTGGACCGAGAAGGAATTCGTCATATTTATCTGAGACCTAACTATAGCCAATAATGCTGGAATGGACCTAATTCTAAAGCACTAAGTATTTGTGAAAATGCTGATGTCACCCTATTGAGGAACTGAGAAGATTTCTTCGCAGTTGCCACCCAATTTGCTAATCAATCTATACTTTACAAGGATTTCGCTAATATTACAACATAGCGCATTTCAAGAACATTAATGAAACTCAATCAGCCAAAGAAGTACGATTATAATGACACTTCTGGAATTACGTCTATTAGGTCTACAACTAAATTTCCGAACTTGATGTGGAAAATAAAGATTTTCCCACAAAAACAAATTCTTCTTTCACCTATCTTGTGCAGAGTTTTCTTGCGCATCGTTTCAGTATATTTGCACATACTTGTCCAACAATAGAGGCGTCACGGGAACTCATTCGCAACCTACAGTTTTTACGAGTTTTAATTGGCGCGCAATTTTCAAACTGCATTTGACAACATCAATTTGTGCACGACTGCCAAGTTGTAGGTAGAACTATGGCGTACGAATGGCCTACAAAGTTTCGCAGTAGAGATACTTATTTGGCCGACCAATCAAGTTCTGAAAGACGGCGTGAAATTGATCGAATAACAATCATTGGAGCGATTAAAGAAGATCCGACTTTGTTCGTTGCTTTGGCCGATGATTTCCAATGTTCAGACAAGCAGATCCGGAAGATTTCAAGAGATGCTGGCAGAATTGCATTCAGGCAGGCGGAGAATACTTTAATCAATATCACTTGGTATTTTCGACTACTTAGAAGAACAAATTTTTGGATTTTTGGCTCAAGTTCGGAAACTTAGAGGAGACCTAATAAAGCATAACTTGTTTTACGATATCTGTACGGCACACCATGTTCACTTGTTAATTTTCAACGACTGCGTTAGAGCATTGAACGCCTTTTTTTTCTATATAAGGAAATCAATTTATGTTTCGGAATTGCAGCATGAAAGTCCACTTCCTTTATGGACCGCGAAAGTTTTTCCCCTTCGAAAGCTGCATCAACCCTACGGTTTCTTGACAAAGCTGTTCGCTGTCACAAGTAATGGATTATACCCAATAATGTGGAGTGCTGTGCAAAAACATTTGCGTCAGCCGGAATTCGAACCCAGATCTCACTTTTTCCAGGAGCGTATGCTAACCTTGCACCACCGACGCTCCTTTCGCACACCACACTTTTTACGCTATGAAGCGTTGCCTGCCAACAGCCAACCGTCGACGGTCTGGCGGGGCACCGCTATCGGCATTGGACCCACTTGTGTTGACAGACATTGGGTATCAATAATCAGTCAGATTTCTTCTTATTTGACCGCCATTTGCTGGTGTGATGCTACATCATACCCAATAATGTGGAGCGCTGTGCAAAAACAGACCGTCGACGGTTGGCTGTTGGCGGACAACGCGTTATAGCGTAAGAAGTGTGGTGTGCAAAACGAGCGTTGGTGGTGCAACGGTTAGCATACGCTCCCGGAAAGAATGAGATCTGAGTTTGAATCCCGGCTGACGTAAGTGTTTTTGCACAGCACTCCACATTATTGGGTATAATGTAACATCATACCACCGCAAGTGGCGGTCAAATAAAAAGAAGTCTGACTAATGGATTATATACTTAATTGAGGCAACGAGGACATTCGCCAATTCCAAGCAAAAGCCCTTGTTTTAGTGTACAAAACATGGAGAATTATGGTGTGAAGGAAAGCAAATCGAAATTGATAGTGTTCTCTATTGAGGTGGTGCCATACTGAGGGCTGAAATTATTCGTAGCTGTCAATGAACGTGGGGAATCGTTTCACGATAGGATTACTAAGAAACAGAGAAACGGCACGTTTGGGAGGAATTTTCGATGGATTGTTAAAGCAATAATTCAAACTCACGTTTGGATGACGTTCTTTTTAACGGTTCTGATAAGAATACCATAGCTGACCGCACAAATAATACTCGATATCAAAGGAATCAAGGCTGCCTTGATATAATGTGTCTAGACGAAAAAACTGTCGGTTAAAAAACACAATTCTTGCAGAACCCTGTGTCAAGCGGGACTTGAGCCCACATTTCACCTATTCGGAGGTGAGTGCTCTAGCCCCGCACTACTGGCGTCTGCTTTGCCACCACTGTTTCTACGCTAGGCGCATCTATCTGTCAGTAACTAACCGTCATCGGTTTGGCCTAGGCAGTCAATATCTACATTGAAATTAGTCATGCTGACAGATATTGAGCATTGAATGATCAAACAAAATTCTTTTTCGAAAGGTTTGTACATCACTCTACATAGTGATTAAATTAGAAGAATTTGCTTCTTTTCTGTTAACAGGGGCCAACTAAGAAACAACGTCCTACAGTGGAAGAGAATTTTCTATAATAATGTTAGTAATCATTCGAAATCTTAAGCCCCTGGTTACTGCACCACGAGCTTTTTTTTTCGAAAGGCTCACAAATAAAGCAGTACCATTCAAAATTATGTTTTACACCAGTCATGCACTCCAACTGTCACTTCACTGGAAGCACGAAAAGCATATGCCACGCAGGAGAAATCTTGTAGTATCAGAGTCACACGTTTAATCTGGAGTTCCTCGCAAAGCGGAGAAAAATTACTAATTAAATAACAAAAATCGCACTTCACATGATATCCGCCTAGGTTCCATCGATCGATCATCGCGGCAACCTCCTGCCGTGCAACCCGTGATTTGCTCAATAACGAATGTCCACGTATGTGAATCGATCTTATTTTCCGTGCTACACTGCAGAAAATCGGTCTTTCTAGGATTTAAGCACGGCGTTGGAATCGTTGAATCTTGCGCTCTCGAATGATCATTGATAGCCTAAAGGAAGGGCTGTGACCTGCGAGAAATTTGTGCGGTGAAACACAAGTGGTGTCCTTTCTCTGAAACGTTATAAAAAAGGCTTTTTCAAAAAGCGGCTACGTATCGCACTATCCAAAGATTTAAGCTTTCGAATGTTTTTTGAAAGCGTAGTGGGAAGTTTCGCCCAGCGAAAAGGGTTGCTTCTTAATTTGTTCACTCCAACAGAAAGAAACCAAGAATTCTGTTTAGACATTCGTTACTCAATATCTGTCAGCATGACTGCGTTCAATGTCGATATCGACTACCTAGGACAAACCGTTGATGGTTGGTTGCTGACAAATAAATACATTATAGAGCGGTAAGAGTGGTGGCAGAACAGGTTTCGGTAGTGCAACGTTAGAGCAGACTTCCCAGATAGCGTGAAAATATGGATTTCAATCTCACTGACGCAAAAGCTTTGCACGTCACTCTACATCATTGGGTATATTTATAACATCATACCATCACTAAAAGCGGCTAAAGAGGAGGAATTCTATCGAAATTCAGTTGACCACCGGCAAGTAGCGAAATAGTGTGTACCTCGAGAGTATCAGGACTGATGACGACATTCATCGTAGATTCAGAATCGAAATACATTTCGGCAAAAAACAAATTTCCACAAAATATCAAAGGCAGAAAATACTGAATTGGACAAAACGACCACCATGGAAGTTTGGCAAGTTTCTGAAATTTTGTGATTAATCACCCCTGAGGGAATACTGCTTTACTATTCTATTCATCTGCTTCTGCTCATTATGTGAACTGCTCACCCTACCAAGTGTCAGCCTAGTTCTGTCCTCGGGCTCCAAACACTCATCCCTGCGATATTGGGAAATTCTTGCCACGAATTCTACTCAACGTTCAACAAAATTTGTGACGAAGACGAAATTTTTCGAACCAAATTCATATGCGAAAAGTTCGAAAAATTTCCATGGAAAATATTTGTGAAAAAACGAATCAAGTACAAGATATATTGGGAACAGCACAGTGTGATGCATGTGCTATCTGGTCATCTAATAAAATTAAATGAAGGAAATTCATTTAACACTCCCAGCTTCTCGCACCTTATGCTAACTAGTACTACAGCATTAATGAAGTTTTCATTATGTGATGCTTCAAATGAAAGATCATTATCGAAAAAAGATCTGTTTTGAAGAACCGACCGCTCTTTACGCCTTTGAGGCATATCATGGTGCTGAAGCAAAAACTACAATAGAAAGCTTTTTGGAGACTTTGTGTAGACTTATCATTGCAAAAAATGTTGATTATCCATGTCGAAATTTTTGGAGCATTGCTCGCTAATATAGTCTTTTTTCTATAAGTTGAATTGGAAATTCGAACAATTAAGTGGGCAGTCAATTAGAATTCGTCCAATCCAACTCAATGCGATTATGAAGATTTACTTTGTAGGGGAAAGCAATTTTAGTTATTAAAATTGCATAGACTATGAACTCTATTTGTCATTTTCACCATCTATGGTTAGAAGGTGTTTCCGAATGTTGATCTGAGAGGTATGTTGTTAAATCTTTTCCCAGTAGGGCTACTTAAACTGAGACTGAACTAAACACTTCTGCCTGGAGATTCAGTTAAGAGAAGATTTGAGACATAATGAAGCCAGATGAGACTATTTTGATTATTTCTTCAATAGACATCAAAATTATTAAAAGATTTGGAAATCTCTGATAGAGCATTTTATTACTACTCTTTGAATCACTGCTTGATTACCAGTAAACGACTAGTGTGCATAATTAATCCTTTGTAATTTAGTTACCTAATAATTGTGGACAACTGCAGGCCTTTGTATTTCAATTACTTAGCTATTTTAGTTATTTATTTGTTGTGGCCCGGGGCGCTAGGCCGAGTGGTTGTGATGCTCGTCGTGGCGCGCGTGGAGCCGATATCCATCCCTAGATTCTCTCCGGTAGTCAACAATGAACGCTCTATGGAACACCTCAGCCAGCCTATCCTCAAGATTGCAAGGAGACTCGCTCAACCAGTATTCTACGCCGTTCAAGAAGAAAACGAAAAACGAATTGGATCAAGAAGTACTGGGATCCGCACAGTGACGAAAAATAGTGTGATCACGGATCGGATAAAATGTTAAAGTGCTAAGAGACAACTGACCCAGTGTATTTTAGTTATTTTAGTGTCTTTTAATTTTGCGTAAAACATAGCATTAGGCATATTATGCAACGATAATCGCGAGCTCACTAGTTTGATTCTTTGCCATGCTAAATGAGCAATCTGTCCACCTAGGTTCGGGAAGCTGACATTGAATTTGTTTGAGCAAAGCTACCTAGGGAAGAGAAACACTGGCGACTGCCTGAAGACTCTGGAACGCCGTAATAGAAGTGCTTTAGAATTCCAAGAATAGCTCGACAAGTCCTCAATATGCCAGTGAGACAAGAAAATGACATCCTCAGCTCATAATCGCAGCGACTAGATTCTAGACAAATGAGCGAGTAAAAAGCGTTCTTTCTTGATTTACGCGATTTGTTATCACATTTTACTGAGCGCATCTTAGCACTTTCAGCACTCGATTTGTTTCCTCACGTGCATCATGAACAAAGGTCTCTGAACAGTTCCCATGTTATTTTGACTGGTTCATGAGATCTTCGTCTTCTCCTAAAATGACGTGAATGTTGATAAGGCAAATCTCCTTACACGTTCGAAGGAATCCAAGCTAACGTGTTACGCGGGGCGTTCACTGATCTCAAGAGAGTATTGGGAAAGAAGGTTCAATCAGCACCTTGCTTCCTAATGACTTAGGTCACTGACTACATGGCAAACTTTCCTGTAAAAAACGCTTTAATGTACAAAATATGATTTATCAAGTCACATAAATTTAAAAAATTTTCCATCTACTTAATTGTTGAAAAGATCAGGCAAGCAATACTTCACCTTATCAACCCAGCTGTTAGGAAATGACACAGTTACACATCTTTGGATCGAAATCATTACCACACCAAAGATTCGACCGTATTCAAACAGATACGTCTGTGTGTAAGACCATTGAACGAAGAATGTATTATTCAGACTCCAGTAAAATGGTTTCAAAGCGTCAAAACCGCGCATATTCACACTGGTGTAGTAGCTTGTGAAACCGATAATATCGATAAAACCCTGTAAAACAACTTTGATAAACAACGACAAAAGTGGGAAAATAGGTAAAAAGTGAAGAAAGATAAAAGTAACGAGTCTCATTCATAATTTTGCCCTTCATAATGCATATGTAATGGGGTTAGTGTACACCATAAACTTGCGCAGGCTAAATTATGACAGCTAACAGTGTTTTAGGTTCGGAAGTCCGTGATAATTCGGGAAGCTGAACTTAGAAACTGAATCTATTGTGAATTTGGCTGGAACTGTGAGACTGCGATCAATTTTAGTGCTTAGATTCTCTTGTGCGCGTAGCTGTAGCGTAATGATTACACGTACCCTGCAACACGCATGGTCGTTGGTTCGACTTTGTTCATCGCATGAATGAATTCACCCATGCCTCCATCGAAATCAGAAAACTGGCACAATACTTGCCTAGAAATGCTTCAGCAGCGACTTCATGCGCCAGTAATGCTCTGCACTGTACTATGGAGCAAATGAGCAATCGTTCATTTCTACGGTACTACGAGTGGTACTGAATACATGACATATCCTTATACTGTTGATCA